ATGCACCTGGAAAGAGAAAGTGTAGAGGAAGAGATTTTGGGAAAGTTGAGTGAATGCGTGGGGGGTTTTGAAACAAGTGGAGAGTAATGGGGGTTGGGGGTTTTTAATGCTAAAGTGGGTAAAATGTTTTGGGGGGAGTAGGGGAAATTTGGGGGGGCCAGGGGTAAATGTAAAAGGGGGGCCTTTAATTGAGCTATGTTAAAAAGAAATTTGGTAATAAAATACATATTTTTTTGAAAAAGAGGAAAAAAAAAATATACAAGGAAGATGAACACGTAAAGAAAGATTTATTAATTATGATTGGGAAAAAGGTTGAGGGTAGGGTCCAGATTAATGTTTTAAAAAAAAGGGGGAACTGATATTCGATCATTATTTAGTTTTAGCTACAGTTAGAGTAAAAGGAGATGGGGAAAAAGGAAGGTGGCAACAACAAAAGAGGGAGGTGAAATGTATAAACTAAGGGGGGAGGAAGTTTGGGTGAGATAAACACTTTGGCAAAAGGTGGGATATGCAAAGATGATATGGGGGGGTTGAAGAGGGTTTGGGAAAATTTTTTAAAAAATGCAGAATAGAAAGTGGGCGAAGTTTGTGGTTTAGGAGGGTGGGCAGGAGAAAGAGGATGATTGTTTGGGAAAGATGAAAAAAGGGGGGAAAAAGAGAAAAAGGGAGCTTTTGGGGTTTTTTTTCAAAACGAATGTTATAAGAAAGCAGAATATATGGGGATAAAAGAAAGGTAAAGAGAGTGGGGAGAGAGTGCAAAAGGGGCAATGATAGAGTGGGAAGGCACTGCAAGAAATTTTAATGAAAATAAGAAAAAATTTTGGAGTGAGTTAAACAAGTTAAGAAAGCCAAGGGAAAATAGGATTTGTCATTAGAAACAAGTAGGGGGTTATAAAATGGGGAATGGAGGATTAGGTTAAAGGGGAGAATATTTTGAGGGAACTTTTAAAGTTTAAAAAAAAAGGCAGTAATTTCATGCATGGGCAGGGGTAAACCTCTTTTAGGATGAAGAAAGCAGAATTTAAATGTGGGGGGGGGTACGTGAGGGATTCTAAAATGAAAGGGGGGAAAGCAGCTGGGAAAGATGGGATCATGACAAAATGTTAAAAGCAGGGGGGGTATAGTGTTGAGGTGGGTTTGGGACTTTTGTTCAATAAATGTATGAAAGAGGGGGAAAAACCTAGGATTGGCGGAGAGCAGTATAGTCCCTTTTTATAAAAGGGGAAAGGGGGCAAAAAGGGCTGTAAAAAAATTTTAGAGGAAAAAACTTACTGAGTATAAACCAGGAAAAAAGGACGGTAGGGTTTTTAATTGAAAGAATTTAAAGGAAGACAGAATGAGGATTGGGATACAAGGAGGGTTTTAGAGTGGGTAGGGATGTGTAATCAAGGTTTACATTGAAGCATATATTTTAACGTTTTAGATAAAGGGAAAGGGGAAATTTTTTTTTGCATTTAGGATTTAGAAAGGGGATATGATAGAGTGGGTAAGGAGCAAGTGGCAGATTTGCAAGTAATGGGAAAAGGTGGTAATTATTAAAAACTGTAAAGATTTTTTATAGGATAGGGGCTCAGGTTAAGGGGGGTAAAAGAGAGGGGGACTTTTCCCGGAAAATAGGTCTTAGACAGGGAGTTAATTTCACCATGGTTGTTTAATTATTTAAATGGGGGTTTTAAAAGGGAATAAATGCAGGGGGCGGGGGAGGGGGGGGGATTAAATTTTGGGAATAAAATTTAAAAAGGGAATTGACACAGTTACTTTTTGCTGATGATACTGTGCTTATGGGAGATTCTAAAGAAAAATTGCAAAGGTTAGTGGATGAGTTTGGGAATGTGTGTAAAGGTAGAAAGTTGAAAGTGAACATAGAAAAGAGTAAGGTGATGAGGGTGTCAAATGATTTAGATAAAGAAAAATTGGATATCAAATTGGGGAGGAGGAGTATGGAAGAAGTGAATGTTTTCAGATACTTGGGAGTTGACGTGTCGGCGGATGGATTTATGAAGGATGAGGTTAATCATAGAATTGATGAGGGAAAAAAGGTGAGTGGTGCGTTGAGGTATATGTGGAGTCAAAAAAACGTTATCTATGGAGGCAAAGAAGGGAATGTATGAAAGTATAGTAGTACCAACACTTTTATATGGGTGTGAAGCTTGGGTGGTAAATGCAGCAGCGAGGAGACGGTTGGAGGCAGTGGAGATGTCCTGTTTAAGGGCAATGTGTGGTGTAAATATTATGCAGAAAATTCGGAGTGTGGAAATTAGGAGAAGGTGTGGAGTTAATAAAAGTATTAGTCAAGGGCAGAAGAGGGTTGTTGAGGTGGTTTGGTCATTTAGAGAGAATGGATCAAAGTAGAATGACATGGAAAGCATATAAATCTATAGGGAAGGAAGGCGGGGTAGGGGTCGTCCTCGAAAGGGTTGGAGAGAGGGGGTAAAGGAGGTTTTGTGGGCGAGGGGCTTGGACTTCCAGCAAGCGTGCGTGAGCGTGTTAGATAGGAGTGAATGGAGACGAATGGTACTTGGGACCTGACGATCTGTTGGAGTGTGAGCAGGGTAATATTTAGTGAAGGGATTCAGGGGAAACCGGTTATTTTCATATAGTCGGACTTGAGTCTTGGAAATGGGAAGTACAATGCCTGCACTTTAAAGGAGGGGTTTGGGATATTGGCAGTTTGGAGGGATATGTTGTGTATCTTTATATGTATATGCTTCTAGACTGTTGTATTCTGAGCACCTCTGCAAAAACAGTGATAATGTGCGAGTGTGGTGAAAGTGTTGAATGATGATGAAAGTATTTTCTTTTTGGGGATTTTCTTTCTTTTTTGGGTCACCCTGCCTCGGTGGGAGACGGCCGACTTGTTGAAAAAAAAAAAAAAAAAAATTAGTACATGTGTATTATTGTAATAATAATAATTATTATTAATATTATTACTTTAGGGCACTGGAGCACAGATCCACTGTATAGCGCTTTGTCTGGATTTTTTGGGTTATCCTAGGTAATTTATACTATGTATGATAACTTCACTTACGTGTACTTGTGTGTGCGAGAGAGAGAGACAGAGACAGAGACAGAGACAGAGACAGAGATACAGATACAGAGAGAGAGACAGCCACATTCAGTCAGCCAGTCAGTCAGCCAACCAACCACCCACCCACTCGGCCAGCGAGCCGGATACGTATTACACATGTTCCAGAGTTGTTTCTCTTTACTTAGGGTATAGGTTATACTACATTCTGGTGGGATGACACTACCAGTGGTATTCTCCCATTCCACTGTGTCGACAATACATAAAGATAACAGTAACATATGATACTGTATGCGATGTAAAATTTACGATACAGTTCACTACCATGTATACATTATATACAGTACATAAATAATTAAAATATAACAATAGAAGTAAATTACGGTAAAAAGAATGAAATAATGATTGTACATTACATTACAGTACTATGTAGGTAGTTTATATAGGAAAGGTTTGACATTATGCCCTACCCAGTATGTCGGCAATTTTCAAAGGTTCGACTTATGTCCATTTTGAATTATGACAGGTTGGTCGGAACCAAGCTTGGTCATAAGTCGGATGGTAGGTGTATTACTAAATGTAAAAGGAGAAACTTTCGTTTTTCCTTTTGGGCCACCTCGCCTCGGTGGGATACGGCCAGTGTGTTGAAAGAAAAGAAGAATATATTTTTCTTACGAAATGGTAGAGAATCTTTTTCCGATGGTAATGACACCAAAAGTACAAAATTTGACGGATAACTTATGGAATTACGCTCTTGTGAAGTTAACGACCTTGACGATATTTACGCATTGGCAATTTTGCCCACTTTGAGCCCTATTTTCAGCCAATTCCATTGTTCCAGAGACCAAACTCATAGCTATTTCTTTTGAACTACATACATTTGTTCTATCAGTTGAGTACAAGAAATTGCCCCTTTACCAATTTCAACTACCCAGTAAAGTGGTCAGAAATTGGCAATTTGGCCAGTTTCATGGAAATTAAAAAAATATGCCAATTTCAAAATAGGATCCAGAATGAACAATGCAGACATTCCTGGCACTAAAATAACATTTTCTCTGTTCATCAGCCATGTCTCCATGCCCCTTTTATACGTATTACTCTTGCTTTCTATTTTGAATTTTTATTCACACAAAAAATAGAAGATTTACTGTTATGGAGACTACTGCAATTTTATAATAATTGTATAAATAATGTCAACCCATTCATGACTGTGTATTAGAATGGCTAATTGGACATTTATTGAACAATGACGTCATTTGTTTACTCTTGAACACTTCTGTTACGTTTAGCTCCATTTCAAGGTCCTTTTCATAGTAAAACCACCTCTATTTCTATAATATGTTTTCCATTCTATCAAATGACACCAAGAAAACAAGAATACAACCATAAGTACTATTCAAAAATACACCTCAAAGTCGGCGTTTTAATCCAAAAACACGGTCGGAGTTTTTCTTTTCTCATTATGCACTGCGTGCTGCAGGATTATTTTTATACTGCACACACTGACCCTACAGACCCATTCTCTCACATGTGGGCCTACCAGCCTTCTCCCACTTGATTTGAAGCCACTAGAATTTTTGAGTCTATATACGTCAAACACATTGGCTCCTAAGACGTACTACCAAAACAGTCAAAGGGTTAAGTGAGTCATAAAACTCCAGGATGCGAGTTCAAGCCTCACCTGTACTGTGGTTTTTTGCAATTGTGTTATCTCCTACACAAAGTCAGAAGGATGGGTGAACATGAATACTGTACATGTTCTAGGAGCAGCTATCTTTTGAATTAGTAGCTCAAATACTCTAAGGAGCATACTACCACAAATATGAGTCGAATATCAAAAATACATGTATGTAATACCAAACGTAGGGTCTGATTTATTTCATTCACATTTCCTGATTCATTTTAATTTGTTATTAAATTTACTGCCCTTAATGGTCCTTATAGAAAAAAGCTTTGTAAAGAAATTTCTGTTTTATGTCTTTACAGATGTCAAAGATTCCCTTTCCATCCTGGGCAGTTAAATGGATCAACATCAGAAAGAATTACAGTAATTTTTACAGCACTAAAAGGGTAAGTCCTTGAGATTAGTTTTAATTTAGGAGATTTTGTCTTATGTTGATTCAGTTGTTTGGTATCCTTGGAAGGAAGATGCCTTAATTTTTACCCCTGCATGGTTTCTTTGCAATGCCCTGAAAATATCTCTGAAATTAAACACATTACAGACTCTCCTCACTTAACGACAGGGTTCCGTTCCTAAGTGTAGGTTGGTAAGCAAATTGGCCGTTAAGCGAGGAGCATACTGTACTGGTGGTGGGTTTGTGTAAACCATCTTTAGGTATTTTTTTTAATTTCACCTTTGCATCATATACAACATTTCTAGTATATTTTTAAATGTTATACAGTAGTGTACTGTATACTGCAATAAACAGAATAGAGGAAATCAGCTCTAATATACACTACATAAGTTTGCATACTGGTTGGAGAGCTGGTCATAAGTCCAAGTGGCCGGTAAATGAGTAAGTTGCTAAGAGAGGAGACGCTGTACTTTTGTAAAACAAAGGTTTGTGTTATTATTTAACATAACCCAGTACAGTAGTCACCCTGTATCCACAGGTAATACCTTCCAAGCCCTACTGTAGATGCTCGAAATCATGGATAGTAGCGAACCCTATACAGTAGGGCCCCACTTTTACAGCAAGTTTGGTTCCAGACTACCGCTGGAAAGCAGAATGACATCTTTTTCCACTTATAAATTATATAAATGCTATATAACAAGTTTATACCAACATATATTAAGTTAGCAATAGAACTAGGCATTAACCCCTTAACTGTCCAAACATAGATCTACAGTCATACTGCTAGTGCTCCAAACGTAGATCACTGTTTTATTTTTCCTGCCTTCTAATTTGGCGCAATAGACCTGAGCGGCCTAGACATGAGAGAATGGGTCTGTGCATTCAGTGTGCGCAGTATGAAAAAAATTGGAGACCCCATGCTACTGCATGGTAGCACCAGTTAGTTTCAGCACCAGCTTAGGTCAACATCATGGCAAATTCCCATGATTCACTCATGCCACATCGTATTAACACTCTCTTATTTGAGGTAAGTGATATAGACCCCGAGTTGAGAGTGACATGGCCACTAATGATCGAGGTATTAGTGAAAATATTGACGATAATCCAGATGATGCTCAGCCCATCATCTCTGGGGTGGCCAATGGGGCCACAGCATACCCCTCTTCCAAGCACCTCTGGGGTGGCCAGTGTGGCCACACCAGACCTTCAGCCAAGCAACTCTGGGGTGGCCAATGTTACTAGTCATAGGCAACTATACAAGCAGAAATTATCATTTTCTTGCAGTTTTGGTGATGATAGTGAAAATGATATAAGTGATGATGAGATTAATTTTATGCCTTTAGATAATTCTTTGAGTGATAGTGATGTACATTATTCCCCAGTGAAGTGTACCTTTGGGAGTCGTCGTCTACATTCAGGCAGTGTGCCATATGCAATCCCCAAGGGTCTTGGGAGGCCATGATTGAAAACCCCTGCCACTGACAGTGATACCGATCATGAAGTAGAATATGCGAGGATGGAGGAAGAGGAGGTGGTGGGTGACATGGTGCCTGGGCTGCATGGCACTGTGAGCGGGCAGACAAAGGACAGCTCAACACCCCCTCAGCCGTGTGCTGCCTCCACTCCTGTCCTCCCTCCTGATTCCCCATGCCCCATGCCACAAGTCCACTCTGCACCATCTGACTGTGAATAGAACTGGACAGAAAGTACATTCGTGCCACATACTTTTGATTTTGATGCCAGTGGAAGTGGCATCCTGCCAGAATGTCCCATCACGAATAAGTCCACAGAGTTAGACTTTTTCCAATTATACTTTGACGAGCCTATAATGAACTTGATTGTCACCCAGACGAACAATTACTACCACTATATAATGGACAACACAAATACAGATATTTTAAGGTAAGCAATGAGTGTACTGTAAATGCATTTTATTGCTCTAAGGTGCTTTAAATGTTGTAGTATATTATGTGTGGGTCGGGTGGCCAGGAGGGCTACCATACAAAATAAAAATTAAAAATAAAATAAATTATTTATTTCTTTGCTAAGGTTACAATGTGTGTTTACATATTATAGTATGACTGGAGCAAAGAAAGCTACTATCATGCCGAGGCATTTCGGGCAGACTTAACCTAATATTTATAGACTACTAAAGTCTAGACAGGTGAAGAGTGGTAGAATACACAGTTAATATTCACTCTATTGTTAACATGAGGTAGTACAATTTATTACAATCTTACATTTTTTTAAGTATGTAATTAAGTTCTTTTACAATGGTAGAATACAAATATTCTATATTTCACTCTTAGTATTAATATGAGGTAGTAAAATTTATGATACAATCAGTCATACATTTTTAAGTTTGTAATTAAGCTCATTTACTCTGTTATTAACCCTTAAACTGTCCAAATGTAGATCTATGTTTAAACGTGTAGCACTCCGACCTTGATTTACTCCATTTGAAAGCATGTAAAAAAAAAAGTAGATCTACTTTCCGAACACTACGTGAGCGAATGTAGATCTACATTTTCACAGTTTAAGGGTTAATGTGAGGTAGTACAATTAATGATACCAACATACATTTATAAGTTTGTAAAAATGGTTTAATAGTTAAGGGATAAAGTATTTGGGGGAGTTGCTGTTTATTTGGTTGGGGTTTAGCATTGTGTGGATTGGTTTGTTATTGAGAGATGAGATGATTTTTGAGTATGGTCCTAAACTGATTTGTGGGCAGGGGACCTCTTGATGCTTCAGGCAGAGTTCCAGATCTTAGGGCCCTTTATGTGCATTGGATTTTTGCAAAGTCTGAGTCCAACACGAGGATGTCAAAAAGTGTTTTGTGCCTCATGTTATGCCTGTGTGTTCTGTCGAAGCTGTCTAGGAGAAGTTTGAGCGGAGGGTTGATACTGGAGTTTAATGTTCTGTGTATGTAGTAGGCACAATAATAAGTGTGTATATTATGTATATCCTAGGTAGTAGGCTGGTAGACAGCAACCGCCCAGGGAGGTACTACCGTCCTGCCAGGTGAGTGTAAAATGGAAACCTGTAATTGTTTTACATGATGGTAGGATTGCTGGTGTCTTTTTTCTGTCTCATAAACATGCAAGATTTCAGGTACGTCTTGCTACTTCTTCTTACACTTTGGTCACACTACACATACATGTACAATCATATATATACACACACCCCTCTGGGTTTTCTTTTATTTTCTTAATAGTTCTTGTTCTTGTTTATTTCTTGTTATCTCCATGGGGAAGTGGAACAGAATTCTTCCTCTGTAAACCATGCATGTTGTAAGAGGCGACTAAAATGCCGGGAGCAAAGGGCTAGTAACCCCTTCTCCTGTACAAATTACTAAATTGAAAAAAAGAAACTTTTGTTTTTCTTTTTGGGCCACCCTGCCTCGGTGGGATACGGCCGGTTTGTTGAAAGAAAAAAGATATTATGTATATTAAGTAAGTTCATGTCTTTGAAGAGAGGTGTGGTGTGTTGTCTGGCACTGGAGTTTTTGATCATCCTCACTGCTGCTTTTTGTTGGGTTATTAAAGGTTTGAGATGATTGGCCGTGGTAGATTCCCAAGCACAAAAGCCATAGGTGAGGTAAGGGTATATTAGAGAGTGATATAAGGTAAGGAGGGCCCAATGGGATACATAGTATTGTATCTTGGAAAGGATTCCTATTGTTTTGGAAACTTTCTTAGTTATATGCTGGATGTTGGTCTGAAATTTAAGATTACAGTCCAGGTGGAGACCTAGAAATTTGCCCTCAGTGTGTCTTGTAATGGGTGAACCATTTATTGATATGTTTAGCTGGATATTTGATGCTCTGTTTCCAAAAAACATGAAGTAGGTTTTGTCTATATTGAGGGTAAGTTTGTTGGTAGTTATCCAGTTTAATATTTTAAGTAGCTCACTGTTTACACTGTTACTAAGTATATCTGGGTTTGGCTGGGAGAAGACATAAGTGGTGTCATTCGTGAATAGAACTGGTTTAAGGAGTCGCGATGCATTTGGGAGGTCATTGATGTAAATAAGAAAGTCAGGTGTGGGGGTTATGGTATTCAGCCAGGCCATCCCACCACACCCACACGTAATATACTATAACCCCCCACTACCCATACTTGCACTAGCTGACTTTTCTACCAATAGTTGCTTATATCTCACCCTAACTTCTTCCTCCCTTAGTTTCTAAACTCTCACCTCTCTCTTGCTTACTGTTGCCATTTTCCTTTTGTCCCTTCCACCTCATACTCTAACTGTAGCTACACATCAACTTTTTATCCACCAATACATAATCTAACAAACTACTTTCATTACATGCTATATCATATCTTGTATACTTATTTATCCTCTTTTTCATACAATATGTATTACTTATTATCAAAACCTCTTTCTACACGTTTAATTAATGGCTCCCCATTTTCATTTATCCTTGGCACTCCAAATTTACTTACTACTCCCTCTACAACATTTTTAAAAAAATAAAGAATAAAGATTTTATTTCTTTGTAAAGGTTACAGTGTACTTATACGCATAAATTCTAGCGCTTTCAGATCGAGCAGGAGAAAGATGGTAGGTCTACATGTGAGAGAATGGGTCTGCATGGTCAGTGTATGCAGTATAAAAAAAAATTTTGGAGCCAGTGGTGCATTGTGAGAATGCCATTTCAGTACACCTTGTTTACCATGCCTCACAGTAAGAAATACCTCACTCCCCAGCAAATTGGGACTCTTGTTTTCCCAGGTGACAGTTCTAAGACAGATGGAAATGTCAGTCAAGATGAATTTCATGGTTTTGAGGGTTTGTGACTGAAAGCAATGCCCAGGAAACCATAAGGAAGAAAGGAAGGCAGGAAGGAAGGAAGAGATGAGAGGAAGGAAGAAGTAAGGAAGGAAGGAAGGAAGGAATGTAGGAAGGATGGCCTAGATGACCATCAACCTAGGATAATCCAAAAAAGTCAGACAAAGTGACTTACTTCCATGTGGGTGGTGGGGTGGGGAAGAAGGCATGGGTCCCCATGGGGGTTGGCAAAGGCAGTGAGGGTAGTGAGTGATGGTATAATGCATCATTGTAACACCAGCCATGCCCTGACTCAGCACATTTACAAGTCCACCCACACACAACAACAAGCTTCCAGAAGCTCTAGCAGTTCTAGGAACGTGTCCAGTGACTATATATATGTATATATATTATAGAGCAAAAGTAATAAAAAACTTTTTTTATTGTTGGTTTGTTTTGTAAACAATACAATGATAACAGTGTTTGTGAGGTTGTTGTGTTGTATACAACCAGTGAATATATATACAATATGTCTTATATTGGTCTCATGAACCATAAAAGTTACTTGAAAAAATAAAATTAAAAAAAAAAAAAAAGTAGAATAATAGTAAATACATATAATATTAGCGAGTGACCGGCAGTCTGTGATGTTGCCGTAAGCAGTTTACTTTGTCAACTTCACACCTCTATATCTTGATAAGTATTGATCGCAAAAAAAAGAATTTTTGGCCTGTAACACTTAGAAAATTATTCTTAAGATTTTGGTAAGAATTTTTTTTTTTTTTTTTTTTTTTTTTTTTAATATTTCTCGACCCTGAGAACGAGGATCGAGGCCCTCGACCCTCAAAGGGTTAATTACCATGATGCATTAATTAAATAAAGTCTATTTGTAAGTGAAAAGGAACAGTACTGAATGTAAATTATTGGGTATATAATATATAATCTGGGAAGTATAGTGCCTGCACTCTGAAGGAGGGGTGTTAATGTTGCAGTTTAAAAACTGTAGTGTAAAGCACCCTTCTGGCAAGACAGTGATGGAGTGAATGATGGTGAAAGTTTTTCTTTTTTGGGCCACCCTGCCTTGGTGGGAATCGGCCAGTGTGATAATAATAAAAAAAAAAATATATATATAATCTTAGTTAAAAAATTAAAGAATTAGATACAGAATATTATGGCTAGGGAACACATATTCACTTATAACTATAGTATTAGTGGAAAATATAGGTTCCCTTTTCTGAACACTCAGCTTGCCCAAAAAAATATTCAGTAAGACATTAATGTCATAAGTTGGGGCCCTACTGTATGCAAATTTATAGAAACACCATCATATATATTTTTTTTTTTTTTTAATTTCAGATGTGCCTGAAAGAGATGCTGCGGAGGCTGGGAATGAACTTTGAGGGTCAGCCCCATTGTGGTCTTGATGATTCTCGCAATATTGCACGTGTAGCAATTAAGCTCCTAAAGGATGGAGCCAACTTGAGAGTTAATGAACGTATCCATCTGAGGAAAGATGGCAGTTATAATTCAAGGTGAGAGAGAGAGACTTGTGCAGTGCCACAAAAACATTTGTCACATCCATTGTACTTACTTTCTTAACAGTGCCATTTTCAATATTTTAACTTAACATCCTTGATGCCTCGCATATAATTTTTAATATGAATTGGTTTTATCTTGAGGTAATGTTCTTTCATTTGTGTCTGTCTGTGCCTGCTTTGTTCACAGTATTATAAAAAATTAAAAGGCTTAGAACATGGAGCCAGAATGTTTATAACCTGACAGCTTCTAGTCAAAAAAAAAAAAAAATAAAAAAATAAACTCAGCAAAGAATCTTATTAATATGGCATTTCACCTGTTACCCTCATTAAATAAAATGTATTTAAAGAGGTTTCTTTACTAAAAGTGTCTTTTTACAACTAAACCATCAGTTCAAAGCCACTCAGGTGCATCTTCTGTTGTATCATATCCTTGGTAATGTTAGATATTTTTTTTAAATATATTTAGCACTCCTAATGAGCCTCATGAACCATATTCATATACCTGTATCTAGATTGCATGAGACTTGAGCGTGTGTGAAAAGTATTAATACAGTACTTGTGAAATTTTGGTGAAAAGGGAAGATTTTCCCAATCTCTTGATCCTGTTCACTTGTTACTAAAGTCCAGATCATATTCGAATTCTTGTTGATAACTGTATTTGGTCCAGATTTTGGGGAAATGTTGCGAGTGCTGAATTTGGACAGCCATGATGCTATCTGGCTGCTGGCAAATTCTTGAAATTTTTGATCTTGTCTTGTAATTTTTAAATTGTTTTATGCATGTACGGGTGAACAAATTAATCTACTACTTTCTCAGAGCTCGAGTTTACAACATATCGAGACACAACTTCAGTGGAATGAAGAAGAAATTGCTGCCAAAAGACAAGTGCGATGATGTTGGTGATGAATGTGAGGACGAGTCGGGTACTGATCCTGAAGATGTCAAACCTTGGGTCGACCCTACTGACAAAGACGAATTTCCCGATCTAATGCCAAAGCCTCGTATTATGTTACATCGATGAAATGTAGAGTAGACCGACTATAGTACTCAAAATATTCTTAAGCTATATTTAGTTGTAATTCATTAACTTTTATTTTCCCCTTATTTTTAAATATATAGAGATCAGGATAAGGTGTGGTAGAAAGATACAACCCTTAATTTAGAATATTTTTTTTTATTCTAAAGTGCCTGCACTCTGCAGGAGGGGTGGGGATATTTGCTGTTTGGAGGGGCATCTGAATTGTAGTATCGGTGCACCTCTGGCAAAATAGTGATAGAGTGAGTGCTGGTGAAAGTGTTTCTTCTTTTTCAGGTCACCTTGCCTAAGTGGGAGATGGCTGGTTTATTGAAAAGGAAAATGCATTCTAACAGATCTTTATCAAGTTAATATTATCATGTGTTCAGAATATTCAATGCTTGGAGATTAGGAGGAGGTACAGGGTTACTAAAAGTATTTTCCAGAGAGATGAGAAGTTGGTGAGGTGGTTGAAACATTTAGAGAGGATGGAACAAAATAGGATGATTTGGAGGGCGTATAAATCTGTAGCAGAGGGAAAGTGGGGTAGGGGTCATCCTTGGAAAGGCTGGAGGGAAGGGGCAGTGGAGGTTTTGGGTGCAGGCTTAGACATCCAACAAGTGTGTGAGTGGAGGCAAGTGGTTTTTATGACATGGACGTGCGGTTGGAGCATGAGCAAGGTAATACATATTTATGAAGGGATTCAGGGAAACCATTAGCCATACTTGAGTCCTGGAGGTGGGTAGTACATTGCCTGCACTCTGAAGAAGGGATGAGGGATATTTGCAGTTTTGTACTGTAGTACAGTGGACCCCCGATTAACGATATTTTTTCACTCCAGAAGTATGTTCAGGTGCCAGTACTGACGGAATTTGTTCCCATAAGAAATATTGTGAAGTAGATTAGTCCATTTCAGACCCCCAAACATACACGTACAAACACACTTACATAAATACACTTACATAATTGGTCGCATTCGGAGGTAATCGTTATGTGGGGGTCCACTGTATTGGTGCCCCTCTGGCAAGACAGTGATGAAGTGAGTGATGGTGAAAGTGTTCTTTTTCATGGGTCACCCTACCTTGATGGGAGATGGTCAGTTTGCTAAAAAAAAAAATAGGTAAAAAAAATATAAATTTATTTAAGAGCTTGTGCATAAATACAGTACAGGAGGGTCCCGTTTGTATGGCTCTTAGGTTCCCAACCCAATGCTGTAAGTGAAAATTGGCAGTGGATAGAAAAAAGTGTATTTTTTCTTTGTTGAATGCATCTAAAACACCTAACATATTTACACTATCATATATTAAGTGCTCATTACTACTAGGCATAAAAAAACAGATAGTAAAATAAATATACACTACATACAATACCTAACTTAAAATATGGTGCTGGTTGCCCTTCTCTTACACAACTGTTATGTGAAAATGGTGGAAGAGTGGTAAAAGCACCGAATATAATGAACAGTGGCTCACTTGAAAGCCAATGAAAATGTATAACACCAAAAAGGGCCTTCCTGTACAGCAAAATAAACTGAGAGCCCTTAGTATGCACAGCATTTTGGGCAAAGTTAAACTAAGACTAAGAGTACTTAACACAAAAGACTACATATTTTGTTTTCCTTATGGGTCAAGTACACATGATGAAAAAAATGAAGTCTAGTACAAAGTATTGATAGGAAGTTCAAAATAATAGTTTAGGTACAGATTAGAAGAATATTCACTAAAAATTAAAATTGTAATTGACACAAGTTGGAGAAAGTCGAGTGGTAGTTTATGATAGAGTATTACAATAAACGATTAGTTTGCTATTAAAGATTTAATGCTTGTTCAGTAATTATATTGTTAAATGAACTGTTTGAAACTATTTTTCTAAGTACACAGTATTTGTTTTAGCTTTAATTTGAATTCATTAAGAATGTTGCAAAATTTCAATTCATCTAATAAGTTATTCCACATCTTTTACCATTTAATTTACATAGAATTTCTGGAGATGTTCAGATGAACACGAGGGAATTAGAGATATTTGTTTCTAGTATCATACCTGTATATTTCTTTTACAATTTTCTTGGAAATGTCTTAGGTCAACATCAGTATTACATTGTAATTTTCTAAAGATGCAGATTGAACAGTAGTATAAATGGTACTGTATTTATATTTAATAGCTTTAGTTTGTAATGGGTCTAAGTGCTTCCTTTGTTGGGCGATAACTGGTTTAAGGGGAATTGCTGAAGTGGATCACCAGACACAAGTCCCATGTGTGAGTGAATTGTAGAGAGCATCCTTACAGTCTTTTGCACTCTCCCCTCCTCCATTAACCCCTAGCCTCACACACTCCTGCCCTTCACTCCCTAGTCACCTTTGCTTATTTCTCCTTTTGTACATTCCTACTTGCTGCGTTGTATGACCCTTTCGGTTTTGACACTTCATGTGATTTTTCATTTCATTTCATCCCAACAGTTTTAGATACTTTTGTTGGTGTTGGAGATATGACCATTGAACTTCAATTTGGGTTTAGCCCTTAGTTTGATTATTTTTATTATTATTATTATTATTAATTTTCAGTGTGTCCATGATTAGACGTAGGAATTTAACCTCATCAAATTATGTTTTTTGGAAAGCACAAGCAGAGTTTGAATCAATATCAGCTTCTGTTCCACTTTGAGAGAGAATTGGACCACATATCATGTGGCCCCCAGCTGTTTTTAGCAAGGGAACATCATGTTCACTTACTATATTTTGCACAAAACGGTGATAATAATCACTTCCAATGATTAAATCAATTGGACTAGCAGTGTCTGTCTGTATGTCTGGACAGGCTAACTTGACCTTGGCTGCCTTTAGTGCTACAACTGTTGCTTTTAGTCCCCTGATCTGCACAGACTTAGGCAAATCATCTACTACCACAGTTTCCACTGTCTTTTCCTGTTTCCTAGACCAACAGTGAATTTGGCTAGGTCTTATGTCTGGAGTGGAGTTCTTTATTCAGTTTCCGTAACACTGTTCTTCTTGTGAAGGACCTTTGTGAGCCTTGATCAAATAGTGTTAGCACATTTGTTTTGTGTAATTTATTAGATAACCCAATTCGAGCTATTGGGAGTGCAGTCAATTTAGACGTATCCCTTACGTTAATTGCTGTTGTTAGGTGACTTCCAGTTTCTGTGGAAGTCAGCTGTTGGTCAGCACAAGTGCTTGGGCATAAAGCTATATAGTGCATACCCTTGCATTTAAAACACTTCTTCAGTGAGCATTTACCTTCCTTGTGTTCACCTAAACACTTAGTATACCATTTCATCTGTTGAACACGCTGTTTTTGTGCCTCCATTGTTGTGTATTGAATACAATACTGTGCCCAATGCGATCCATCACTAAGTACACATTTTGGAGTACGTTTAGGTGTGACAGTCTTTTTACTGTCAGTTGTATTCATAGTCTTATAAGTGCCTACATGGGATTTCCCATTCGGTGATTTAGTGGGTTGTAGGTATACTCTTTTTATGCTGAGTTGAAGGTTTGGTATTCACAATAGGATTTGTAGGTTTAGCATCATGTTGCGTTGCTTGCATGCAAGAAACTATATATTGTAAACCTTTGCTAATTTCTCTACAAGAGAAATAGCATTTGTTGAACATAATATTTAATCGTTCAGTGGTTTGTGGTGACAGCTTATCCTGTACAATACCACTGATAAACCAGTCACATTGATTTTTTGTCATATTTAGTCTCTAGAGATCTGAGACTATTGTCTAGTGTGATTCTAAATGTCTGTAAATCTGAAAAACAATGTCTTGGTGACTTCAAGCTTGAGATTTTGACTGCAAGTCTAACCTTGGCTTTATCATCATCAAGGTAATTGTCTGCTAAGACTCTTAAAGCTTGCTGATAATTATCTTTAACCACCAGAAACATTTTAATTTGAGATAGTTTAATTTGGCTGTCTCATCAATATCAGTTCTGTTATGTACCAGAGACTGAAATCCACTGATAAACTCCTCATAATCATGACCTTCAAATATAGGTAATGAGAGATTAGGAAGACTAGGTAATGGGATACCATGTGTGGCAGGTGTCTGACCACTGACTACAGTAGGTTTTTGTGAAAGAATTTTGTGGCAGGTACGATGTGCCTCTGCCCACTCTCTAATCTAAATCTGCCCACTTTTCTTGTTGATCACTAAATGTAACTAAAATATTTTGAATGTCATCCTGAGATGGATTTGACTGTAGGAATGCACTTTCATATTCCTCATAATCTAAATTAATGATCTTCAGACTCTTAGTAAGCAGGTCCAGTTTTGCTTCTAAAATGTCAAAACGCCCATCAGGATAGCCCAGTGGTGAGAGGCGTGACTCACTACTGGGGTCCAGGGTTCTAATCCCGGAAGAACTACTAGAAAAAAAAATATGGAAACTGCAGGCCAGTGGTGAGAGGCGCGACTCTCACTGCTGGTGTCCTGGGTACGAGAACCAGACGAACTGCTTAAAAAATGTCAAAATCAATGTTTGCTTTTTGAGTCAGCCCTTCACAGACAGTAATCAAATTTTCTATCTGCATAGTTTTTCGTTTTCTAAGATTGAAACTGGATTTACAAAGAAGCCATCTTGTACAACACTAGAAATACTAAAATAAATTCCTAACAGAATACACTGACTAGGGTTTAAATACTGAACTGCAGTGAACAGCTGTGAGTATGTTTGCTATGATTTGTCAGCATGTTTCACTGACCCAGTGATCGCAGGACAGCACGGTCAGTGACCTTGAAGGGTACATCTGGCAGGACCTTGATCCAAGCCTGAGCTAAAAGACACTCGGTGATGCTGTTTCAGCTTGGAATACTGCGAGTTGCCCTTATGTAAGATGCTGTACACATCACACATGTATATTTGTTATACATCATACATATACATACATATATATAAATTTCACTGCTAATGGATATGAAAGTTTAAACTTAATTTAAAACCCTTTAAATTTATGAGACAATTATGAGAGACAGTCTCGTCTCTTAATTTGTCTAGAATACTATAATAAACACTGTGTAGAGAACATATACATTCAGACAAACTGGTCTGAGACCATGGCTTTTGTCTGTTGGTATACTGAGTGCTGTGCAGTGAGACAGGGCGAGAAGTGCTGGTTGCCCCATTTTCTATGCTGTGCTGTGAGATGCTGGATGAGCAGTGGGTGTAGGTGGGTGCCACGTTTTCTATGTGCAGATGGCAGCTTGAGAGGCAGTGCACTGACCCCTGTTTTCTTTTGAGAGGCAGTGATGAGAAGCAGCAGCCATGACCCACCATTCTCTCTGAGTACTTGCAGTAACTCAAATATTTTGTAAAGACTCCAGCCTTTAACAGTTTTTCAAAGGACCATAAGTTCTCTGTTACAGTGGTACCTTGAGTTTCAAACAGCTCCCAACTCAAACAGTTATGTAAGTGTATTTTTGGGGGTCTGAAACAGATTAATCTAATTTACATTATTCCTTATGGGAACCAATTCATTCATATTCGGTACTCGAACAGCCTTCTGGAACGCATTAAATTTGTAACTCGAGGTACCACTGTACTTGTAAACTTACAAGTTCTTGGGCCACTGTGTGGCTACTATCCAGTTTGAAGGACCAAGTTGTGGAGAATTGGTTAGATAAATACACTTTTCTGCATAAAACAACATACAGTGGACCCTCAGCTAACGATGGCATCAGCTAACGTTAAATCCAGCTAACGATACATTTTAATGCAAAAATTTTGCCTCGGCTAACGCTAAAAAACTCGTCCAACGCGATTTGTTCAAGACGCGCCCACGTGTGGCCTGAGCGCGACTCAGTTGTCCCGTGGGTGCCAGTGTTTACAAGCCAGCCAGTGCAGTCGCATCCACACATACAATTGGAACATTTCATATTATTACAGCGTTTTTAGTGATTGTACCTGCAAAAATAAGTCACCATGGGCCCCAAGAAAGCTTCTAGTGCCAACCCTGTGATAAAAAGGGTGAGAATTAGTATGAAAATTAAGAAAGATTTTGAAGGGTTTGGGGCTAACCCTGAGATGCCTATGCCAGTTGTGGAATCCATTATGCCTACTTCAAAGATTAAGGAAACGGATTAAGGGAACTGATTAATATCGTTAGCTGAGGGTCCACTGTATAGCAA